AATTTGTTCATGGGTAACGTGACACGAGGTCCTGACGTCATTTTCCCCACTAAATTTAGTGGGCAAACTGAGTTGGTGTTGAGGTCACGTGAAGTCGATTTCCCCGCTAAATGTAGCGGAGAAATGTTTCTGCTAAATTTAGCGGAAAAATTTCTCCGCTATATTTAGCGGGAAATTATTTCCGCTAAATAGAGCGGGGAAATTTTCCCATTAACGTTAGCGGGAAAATTTCCCCGCTATCTTTAGCGGAGAAACATCCCATTATGCAACGCGCGCGGTTACGCCGACGCCACTCAAAATGGAAACGATCGCCTAAGAGCTGCGCTCTAAAAAATCTGTTCGAAGACCTATTTCACAAGGGCGCCGCCACCTTGAAACATTGTCACTTCCAGTATGGGCGAAAACGTTGCTTTTGCCGTCGCCACACGAATAGACTACATTTAAGATAACCTAAGCGTGAGGCCGTCACCCCTTCTCGTTTTGTCTCCCCTTTATTTCTTTACTATTTGCAGGTTAAACTGTTTTATTATTATATTTTTCGTCGCCCACACCGGATATGCCTACCAGGTGGCTGGGGATGAGAGGAAGCGAAAGAGGTCGATAGAACGTGTGACGGCTGCGCTATATCCTTAATATATTCTATTGGCGTGGCGACGTCAAAACAATGTTTTCACCCATACGGGAAGTGACGATATTGCAAGATGGTGGCGTCCTTGTGAAATAAATCTATAGAAGGGAGATTTGAGAAGGGGGAGGAGGTAAAAAGAGGTATCAAGTAAAATAATAAACTTAGTGACACAGTTACCCCCAATCAAGTCTCGAATTTTGAAACCAAAATGTGGTTGTTGAAGCCGAGATACGAGAGATCGCGGCGCCAACTCCGCGGGGTGCTGCTTTTCCGCAGTGCACCAGTGCGCGAAGAGAAGCGCACTCAACGGAGCTAGTTGGCCCGCCCAAAAAGACAGCGGACAATGAAAAATATCGCAGTACTTAGAAATTGTGTCAGTGACCGATACGAAAATCAGATACCGTAGCGCGTTATTCGAAGCAATTGTCGAAAGTTCTGAAAGTACGCACAAGTCTACCGTAGCGACCTGGCAGTGTAGCGGTGAGTCGCCGACTCACACCGCTACACTGGTGAGTCGGCGACGCAAATTCCTCACGTTCGGATCGATCGTAGCAAGATACGACGGGGTAAACAATTTGGCACGGCTTGACGCAGCTGCCGGAGCAACCGCATCACAGTATTTTGGTCTAATGTGCCAGGGCAGCAGGGTAAGCACTTTGGCACAGTAATCGCATCTCTGCAATTGGGGAAGGACTTGTAAAGCTGCATGGCATGGATGTTCAATATTGTGGTCTCCTTTAATCAATATGATAGAAAATACGCCTTGTTATTGTAATCCGCACACCGTAGTCACATCCTGCAGGAGGTTGAACACAAAATGGGGTGGAGCAAGACAGGAAAAAAGAAAAGTTACAGCCAATGGCCGCCCCAAGACCTTGAAACGGCAGCGAGGGACGCCCGGTGCCGTTTTGATGGAACGCGAGAGAGCAGTCATCTTGTTTCATGGACCCTGAACCCACGAAATCATTTTTTACCTGGCAGAAATCTTTTTATTTTCCCCCTAACCTTCCTACTCACTCACTGCTTCACTTTCAATGGTAGACGAAGTTGTAGAAGAAGAAAAAAACTGAAAACCAACAACAAAATTAAACAATAAAGGTTAACATACTAATGCGAAAAGAAAACATCAATGCGCTCTTGAAATGTACCCTCCTTGCAGAAGTGCTAACCCTAAACTGAACTAATCCTTTATAATCCCTGGAAGTTCTACAACAGACACAAAGCCTCAGGGATCAGGCAGTCAGGCAGGAAATGGGGTTGGAAACTGGTTCATTTACTACATCCAGACCAGTCTTGAGAAAAATACCACTCTAGAAACTAGAAAAAAAAGTCACTTTTCAATACTAACTGCATGGTGCATCAGAACCTGGGGTTGCCGAACAACGGTTCTGCCAGTGTTTGCGCCCAGTATGACCCGATAACAATACGAGGATAAAAGATACCCATGATGGAAGAACTAAGCGGAGATTGATTTGGGTATTGTCCATGAACTCGAAATTTTCAATAAGATGATACAACTTTACACAGTTTTTATCATCATTTGATGCACTGATCAGCTAAAGCATTTTTAAGTGTCAACATTTGCAACCGCAGTACTATGCTATTTCTTTGGGCTTCGAGCCAGCCATTTCCAGTAGTCAACATGAATGTGTAGATCAAATTCTCACCCTGTCAGTGGCTCCAGTACTCAAGCCAAATTGAGTTCAATGCTCGAAGAGCTTTTTCGATATTTTATGTCCGAGCACTCCCAACTTCTACCCCCCCCCACCTCAGTCTCTCGTTAGTGAATCAGTGCATCGGGAATAGAGCAGAAGACCGAATATACACTGCATAGATGTTCTTTACCCCTATTTTACGATTCCAAATGGTGCCGCACAGTTTTAGCATGCGAGAGTGGAGCTCACTAGGTCAACGCCACTGGTTCACACAAAGTGAAACGGTGATGTGGCTAGTGTAGTCTGACTGCCGGTGTAGGGGCCTTGGTTAGCATTGTGTTGTCTCTACATAGGAGGGTCACCGGCACGGCAGACATTCGTATCCAAAACTGGCAAGGGAGAGAATCCATCGACGTCTTGTTCATTACGAATTTTGAACGTTACTGCATTTGGTCATTCAAGGTGCAATTCGGGCGTCGTCGATGGTTCCTTTCTATTACCGCAGGGTCATTCTCCGACGAGAGAATGGTGCCTTTGACGCTTTCTCGACTTCAAAAATAGTCTTGCAAACCGCAGCCAAAGACGGCAATCGAGGAGGAGCTCGCTCGGAAATGCAAGCGCCACACCACAGAAAGAGTCTGCACACTCGTTTCCGGCGCTCCTCAAGCTCCAAGAGTCACGAATCGAGGTCAAAGGTACAACATATTCAGAAAGGTGGCACAAAAGACCTTCATTCGAGCCCCACGGGAATGTTAAAAGGAAAAGCTCCGCTTCAATCTTGGTTGTTAGCAAATAATGCAACTCTCTTCCATATCATCTAGAGAGACCGAAGGTCAAATATTAGAACGTGATACCTCCTAAACGATCATTAAACCGCCCGACAAAGACTAAGAGGCACGAAGTCACCAAAATCCGCTAATTCAGCGGGCGACGTGTGGCACAGCCAATGCTGTATTTTCATTGTGGCTGACATCTGTATCACACGCAGCTTTTTTTCTTGGTATTTCCTTTTCCAGGGAGAGCTTACCAACCAGGCAGCGCTACAGGTGCGCTCCACGTCTGAGCAAGCAAAGAGGCGAGACAGACGAAAAAGAACGAACGAGAGCAAGAGAAAAAAGAAGGGGGAAAAGGTTGTACGGGATGAGTTTCAGCGACATACGTGCCAACCGGTGCCAACAGACTACCTGCCTGGGTTGCCGCCTACATAGCCTGCTTCATCACCGCTTGCGTTGCCTGTTCGCCGCCGCCGCTTCGCCCGTCCTCCCTCCTTGCTCCTCGCCCTTCCCCGCGCATCCGCATCTTTTCTGGGTTACCGCACGTACATCACGTGGCCCCTTGTATCCCACATGGGTATGTATGCAAGTGACATCGAGGGTGCAATGTCGCCCTGCTGAGCCGAAGTTTCAGTTTCGGTTTGGAATTATGGTAAACAACAAGATTGCACGAAAAATATTTTGGCTTCCATGAGACAAACGGTCTAAAGTTGTCTTGGACTACTTTTCATGTTTATATCCCCCACTATCTCAAACTTTCCGAAATCGAGCGGAGTTGCCCTTTAATTGACAATTCACCAAACGAGTGTGTGTGATGCAGGCTGCTCAAATGCAGTTCAACTAAACGTTATTTGAAGTGTCGTCCAGCAGTAGCGTCAGAGTGGCAAGTCGTTAAAATGTCGAAAAAGAATGAGCGGCAAGAAGTAATGAAGATGAGGTTTCGCCCTTTCTTGTTGCACGAGGAACGACAGTGGGAAAAGTGGCAATGGACTACGTCGCTGGCTCCTAGCAGTCTTTGGTAACACATACGGCCTCTTAACGGAGGAACGTCACACGAATGCCATGTCACAGGGTTTGGTTGGAACTCCTGTCCTCCCCGATCAAACACGAATCCCGACCGAAAGCCGATAACACAGCAGTCAAGTCAAATCTGTTTCCTGCGCTGGCCTCCACGGGGTCACGTCCAAAATCGCACTACGGGCTTGTCGTCTAGGCGGCACTGAGCGAGCGCACTTGCACACGTGGTGGAAGAGTGCAGGAGGCGAGGGGAAAGGGGACAAACGTGGGCTTCGGAGGGGACGGGGAGACACGAGGGGTGGGATCAAAGCTGGGGTGTGTGACCACCAGACGTGAACTTTGGGTTTCACTCCAGCTGCAGCGCTAGCTTTTCTGGGGCTTTCTTTCAGAGGTACTAAGCGCAACAACATTCACGCCGTAGAGTCACGAAGTGCGTACCCAGATTTTCCGCGCAACGTCACCACAAAGAACACACGACGCATTCTGCGTCACCGCCGCCTTCGCCGCGGTATGGCAAAAAAAGAGAAGGTTTCTACTTGCAGGCCGACTCTTCGGGGGAAAGTGCCGGCCAAGTCTGCAAAAACGGTCCTTGACGAATCCGGCGCAGATAAGTCGAGCAGACGAACGAGGGAGGTTGACGAACTATGTAGGCAAAAAGTCGTTCAACGAGAGACAGACGGCGTGTTTTGCATTACGACGCTAGATTCACTGACAGAATGATAACGGCAGGGCTTGTCTTTCGAACGCACCGCCTCCGGCACGCACTTTGTGCCTTCCGCTGCACTTTGGCAGCACGCACACCTGCTCGAGATGCACGAGGCACCTAAGCGTCGCCGAAGGTAAGAAGTTTGCAATGGAGCTTGTGGTCGAAGGTAGGAAATCTTTCCCTCCCTTCGGTGAAAAGTGTAAGCGTCCACGAGCACTCACCTCCGTAGGAGCAGTCCGACGCAGCGTCCTCCCGGCTGCCCGCCTGCTCCCGGAGCTCCTCCTCGTCCTCCTCCGGAATCACCTCCAGCTCCTTCTCCTCCGGGTAGTAGACGTAGCGACGGGGGTCCGTCGCGTACGCGTCGCTGTTGTCCACGAAGTCCGGCGAGTCCTCGCCCTCGTAGGCGTAGTCCACGTGGTAGTCCGCCTCGTCCTCCGAACTGGCGTAGTCCGGGGAGCGTCGGTCGTCGTCGTGGCGGTCGTTCGGGTCGTGGTGCGGGTGGCGGCGCTCCGGCGGCCGCCAGCGCAGCGAGTCCGACTGCGGACTGCCGTGCGTCGTGGAGTCCTCCGAGTTGTAGTCGTCCACCGAGTTGAATGTGTTCCTGCGACGGAAGAGGGACGCACCGCTTGTGAATCGAGCAGGTTGAAAGCGTTCTGGCAGCGCGTGTCGATTCTTGCGTGATGCACCTAAATTCCCTTTTATTGTATAGCCTGTTTTCGCTGACGTAATATTGTCCTCCATTTTGTTGTCATGAGCTGTCTGGCACATGCTAAAAATGAGTATTCCGAATATTCACTCGACACCCTCAGATCGGTAGTGCACAAAAGCTTATAAACCTCATCACAGATCTTTTTTTTTTTTTTTTTTTTTTTTTTTTTTTATGGATAATACATTTTTTCACTCACTCATTCTAACAACAAAATGGTGGATTGAGGTAATTTCAAAAATTCCCTTACAGCATCGGCCAAATTTACCAGTTTCATTAGCAATTGGATTTCTCGATAGAATTTCAAGATTGAAGGAAATAAAAATAAAAAAAGAAATGGATATTATGTCACAAAAAAGTAAAAGGAACAGCCAGCACAAAACTGGAACAGTTCTCATCTTGATATGTTTAAGAGAGAGAGAGAGAAATTTTATTTACAATGACGCTTATGCTCAAGGGAGATGGTGCCACCTATGAGAAGCAGTGTCCACTAGTCGGCGAAATGTGCTAGCTCTCCGCCTCCCTTTAAGAAAGCAAACACTTTGAGCTTGCGTGCTAATCTCAACAAAAAAACTGGTTGAAAACACAGATATTTCCTTACCTAAATGCAAAAACATTCATATTGAAAATCTTTACATCTGTACATGCCTAATCTCTTAGTCACCTTTAGTTAGTAGGGCCCATCTAAGCCCATCTCCTACGTTTAAAACATTTCAAATATAAATGAAGAACACATCGAGCGCTCAACCCAACAAACTTCCGAGCCCACCGAGCTCGGAAGTTCCTCCGTATCAGCTGCTTCGCCCAGCACGCTGGTGTAAAGCAGTGAAGTCTTATGTCTGTGTGTGTGTGTGAGCGCCAAATGGTGAAGCTTCGCTGCTTCATCAGAGCCATATTCTATTGCTATATCATTCCATCAGACCAAACAGAGGCCAAACAGGGTCCTACCCTACAATGTGCCCCCCTTCTGCTTCTCTGCAGTTGAGCTTAACAAGTGCCCATCCCATTTTTTAGTGATAACCTGCAACTTTTAGGTAGGTGCTTGCTCGGTATTTTATAATATGCTCACAAATTTACCAGACTTTGGTTACGTTTTGGCCAAGCTCCCTCAGAATTCCCCCAAATACCTCTAGAGAACTGTCAGAGACCCAGCTAAAAATCCCCACCAATTCCCCAATAGTTGTAGGGATTGTCAAGGATCTTATTAAAATTCCCCAACAGTTCCCCGATATACTTGTAGGACACTGTCAGCGAGCATGGGCGTTGCAAAGCGATCGACTAAGACTGCTTAACAGTTCCAGATTCCATAGGACCTCCCCGATGGTAGGCACCCCGAAATTACGGTACCTCCAATGCGCCTTTGAGTGCTGTGTTCTCGCGTCTCCGACTTTCGTTGCCTCGACTTTTGGCTGGTAATCTCACAACTCGTTTATGCGGCTGTCTACGGCGATACTGAAAGTGCCACAACAGCAGAGGTGAACGCGACAGAAGCCTGTTCTGCGGTAGATTATTCTGCAGTCGGCTGATCACCAGACACCTCAGCAGCCATACACTGGGACGCCACAGCGACACTCACACCTGCTCGGCTTTGTCGCCAGCGTTTCAACAACCAACCTCCAGGATTGCGACAACCGGCAGCACGCCACACCTACTCCCACGACATGTTCTGGTGCAAGTTCGGGGATGCTCCAGCACACGAAGAGTAAGGACACTAAACGTCCCCAGTTTGGGGCGTGTTCAAGCACGGCATCGAAACCGCTCACTCACCGATGGACGACAAAATCCCTCGAGTCGTAGTCGCCGTCCATGACGTCGTCTTCGTCGTGGAAGCGGCCATCGTAGGGCGCCACCGCCGGAAGTTCGTCTCCGGCGCCGTCTTCCATCATGGACGAGAAGGCCGCCTCGACCTAGAGTGGAACGGCAATTGCAGAATACGGTTATGATCGATGCCCTTTGCGCCGTAGAAATATTATCTCTATTTCTAAAACTCGAAACAGAACCGTGGTAATTTAGTTGGCATTGACTCGAGGCTGCTTCATACACTTGCGACTGCTCATGACCATGTGCCTTAAAACCGCTTAAAATCTCTTAAGATTATTAAAACAAACTGTCGCCATCTATCGGCAAGCCGTAGAACACCTGCAGTTCCTATATTTTTCCTACAATGTTTTGTGCATGATTGTTTTTTTCTTGGGAAAAGCTTTTGACAATGCTATAAACGACTATTTCTGATAGACAATAGTACATTTAACCTTGCAAATACTCAATACCTTTGCCCCAGTAAAATGCAATACCAGGGACATCTCATAGATGGCACCAGCGTGCCAATGTTTCCTCTCGTTGTAAGAGATCGCAAGAACTCAGTCCAAGTAAACGCAAGGGTGTGAATGGGACTTTAGATGTCTACACCTACCTTAGGGAGATCAGCTGAGCATGTTTCCTAAGATTTACTGATCCCAGAGCTCTTGTAAGAGCCAACCGATTCTTTCCGCGCTTGTTCCATATAGATGAGCATAAGAAAAACAAAATTTACAGTTCTTAGTTTTGAGTGAGCAGTCAGCATATACTTTTTTAAAAAGCTTTTGTAAATTCCATAATTTTTCTCACAGCAACCTTAGCAGTGAAAGAGAGTTAAAGAAAAGTGTGTTAACTGCGTGAAAGTCACATAACTTGTAAATTTCAGAGAACGCACTGGAAGCTGGGAGGCGCCGTTACCCTCCTAGACTGATCCACAATTAACTTCTCTGCGTGGCAGTCTTATAAGCAATGAATCAAATGTGGACAATTAGCTGTCCCTCTCCACATGGTACTTGGGACTGAGCACAGTAGGCCAAGCAGGCAGAAGACACAAATAAGCAAAAGGTTGCGCACCACGTCCGAGCGCGGCCAACGCCATATTGCGATGGAACCAATCAAGCAGCTTCAAAAGTGCATCGTGACGGCACTCTACGTCTTGCGCACTTGCTTTACCATCGGCTTAACCAATCACAAACGGAAAAGGTGCAGGATCTCAGCATACTTTTAGCGCCGCTCGGTGGTTCCATCAGATGGCAGTGTTGGCTGCTCTCAAACTTACAGTGGAATGGAGTATGCGAAGCACAAGTTCGTCTGCATTTTCTGCGGGGGTTGTGGTGACATTAGAACACCAAGCTCCGATCCGCTCTGATTGAAGTATAGTGGGTAGCCCTGAAAGCAAGCTACCTTGACGTCTACCCACTATCTTTCAATTAGAGCCAATCAGAGCTCGGCATTCTGACGTCATCACAGCCCCTGCAAAGGAAGCAGACGAACATGTGCTCAGCATAGCATTGGGACTAACTGCATTGCGATGCCAACTGGTTCTGTACTTAGCCACGAAACATTTCCCGAAAAAACATTACGCTCAGAAAGATCGTCGTATGGAAGGTTAAAACCACCATCCATCAACACGGCTGCAAGCAACCCCGCTTCACGCCGTTGCCACAGTCTTTCGCAACGAGCGAGCTAAAAGCACTATCTGGAAGACAGAGAGGCCCTTTTCACCCGGCGACAATGCAAACCTGCCACGAAAAGCAATGATGCAAGGGGCTCCCCGACAGAACACACAAGTACTCCATTCACCCAAGAACGACGCGCGAGGCCTCGCAAAATCATTACGAGCGAAGCACCCAAGGCAAGGTTGCGAAAGGCCAGTGCGAGAAGCGGGCCGGCGTTTCTAAACAATGGCACGGAGAAGCTCTCCTTGTAAACAATGCCGTGAACATCCGAGAAGCAATCACGCTGGAGGAGTAAGTGGATCCCATCCTTGCATTAATGCGAGCGTGTACTACAATGCAGTCTACAATCAACTTTTCATAAAATGTGCCGCAGCTATAGGTTTAGGAGGTAGCTGCGGAGCTACACATATTTATAAGTAGGAATTTTATGCGGCGTGAACTATTTACAAGCGTAATATTTAAAATTTTTTTTATGAGATGTTAGGTATTTATGTTTTAGTGACCAAGTAAGTTAATGCTTTCCTTGTAAACAATGCCAATGTGAACCTGCCATGAAAAGCAATGATGCAAGGGTTTTCTGACGAAACGCACAAGTACTTCATTCCCATCGGAACAGTGCACCGGGTGTGAATTATCCACTAGGTCTGGACAATCTAAAGAAAAACTTATTTTATACCAAAGTTTGCTCTGGTGGGCTATAGATTGGGTGCAAAGTGTGGTCCGGTAGATACGGTCATATGATTCGGTTTCCACGTCAACTTAGAAGTGCACTTGGGCTACGGGTTCAGTAACCCTCAGGCTAGAAAGGCGACTATAGGTTCCTCAGAGGCAAGTTTAAACTGTTATTGAGTGGAACCAGTAATTTAATAGAATTAGACAACACAATCTCAACGTTTAATAAACGGTAGAGGTTATTGTAAAAAAGCCTCGTTTAAATCGCAAGTGACACCAGTTTAACAATGCATAACCCTTGATGATACCTAAGATCCTAGGATCCATGAGTTCATGAGAGAACAACTTGAGCCAGAAACAGTGTTGGTCAAAAACTACATTATCTTATGTTTTATCCAGTCTTCCAATCTACTGCTATGCTCCCAACAAAGAGTCTAATAAAACTAAGACAGTGACTTGCATTCTTCTAATGCCATAGTTACTTGAAAGCAACAGGAGTGCATCAGGCTGGAACGACCAAAAACGACGAACCAAACGAGATGGACTGGGCGGATATGGGAGGTCCGGACCAAAACGCTGCCACACTCACTTAAACGCAGTTAGTGACCTTTTATTCTTTGTTCACTCGGCTTCTGCAGTGCCTATATGGCATTACTGTAAAGGGCAAACAACAAAAGAATTTGTCAAAAAAGAAAAAAAATTTGCGAAGCTTTGTTTTGGTTTTGTATTCACGGGTTTTGTGCATATGATCTTTGCGATGAGAAAAATAATTTGGTGTTAAAAGATTAGCTGTTAATGCCAGTGGCGTTATGATAAATACTATATAAAAACTCTAGTCATGAGTAAATAGGGGATTTGAGATTGAAGAAAATTTGAAGCGAATAGTGGTTTTAGCCAAATATTTTTTTAATTGAATATTGAATAGTTTTTCCAAGCCTTTCACTATTGTTGCACCATGCTTAAATGAAAACCAAGCTAAAGTTGCGAAGGTTGTTCTCAAGCTTCTGCTTGTCCATTGATAAACTTACTTTAATCTAACTATATTTATCCACTGTGACCTCAGAATGCCTTGAGGTGGCAGGTAAATGGCGGATTTGACATAAAATTAAGCCGATAGAAATGCACGGCTATAGCTTACCGAGCGGATATACAAACCTTGCTATATGCAAATATTCTTTCTTCAATCCCAAATTTAAAAAGAAAAGGATCACGCATGATGAAAATGGGTTTATCAGGGCAGCTTTGACTAACAGCCACAGTCTAATTCTAAAAATTTTACTTCAATGTGGATATTAACATTAACAAAGTGTCCGCTTCTTTTGAAATACACCAGGCGCACGCACGCATCACCCCGCTTCGAGATTGCGCTTTTCTACCAACCACGGAATTTGCAATATTCAAACTTTGTGCAAGTGTTGATCGCGGCGGATTATCCCGTTGAGTGCGCTTCTTGCCGAGCATCGGTGCACTGCGGAGAAGCAACACACGCGAAGCTCGCTTCCGCGGGTGTTGCTTCTCCGCAGTGCACCGGTGCTCAGAAAGAAGCCTGCTCAACGGGGCTAACCCGCAACGCTCAACACTTCGAAATGTATGAGTATTGCAGTTTGTCTCGAAGCAAATATTGAAGAGTGTATTATTCGAAACTACTATTCGAAATTTCGAATATTCGCACAACACTAAAAGTTTGAAACTTAAGTTCTTGCGCCAAAACTCCAATGAAAACCAACCTAGTAATTTATTCATATATAGTGACGCTTGAAAATCAGTCCTACTGACTTGCCCAAGGGAAAGCAAGCGGAAGGATTGTGTACTTTTTCTAGTCAACGTGTGCATGTCAAGTGCCGTCAGAAGATGAAATATTACGACTACATTTTATTGAATCCTCGTTTGATACTATCTTATTGTTCAAATAACACCGAGTCTGACGTTTCTTTTTAGCAAGGCCCTCACCTCATCGAAATCGGAGATGTCCAGCAGGTTCTGTCGGATGAGCCTCGAGTTCTTGAGCTCCTCGTCGGTGCTGCAAAACTCCTCGTCCGCAAAGTCATGGTCGACCACTTGGCACATGGAGGAATTCTTCAGGGGGGATGGCGCCAGCGGCTTGGCTCGGCTACTGCCCGACTTGGGCTCCGGTGCCTGGTCCTCCTTGGCTCGGATCGCTTGCTGCGAGGAAGAGAAGACTTTGAGAACGTCTGCCAACACCCCACATTTCTTACCTGGGAAAAAATATGCATAATGTCGTCAGAGCTGCACCGGAGTTATGGAGAGGCTAAATCTCTTAGCGAAATGTTGATGGCATGCTGTGGCTTCCCGGAAGGTTTATTATTATTTATTTTAATCACGTAATGAAGATTATGTTTGCACCCCAGTATTCCTTTCGCAGGAAGTCAGGAATGGTGGCTTCACTGTGCCTTCAGCACACGACCAATGGTGTAAATTATTTCTGTATGCATTACACGTGAAAAAGCAAGCAAGCCCCCCCCCCCCCCCCCCCCTTTTCCCGTAATCTGACTAGCACATGTAGTAACGGTAACACGTAAAACTTTAACTTACCAAATTTCCTTAATAAAAAAAAAAGTTTTTCTTTTTTTTTTTTAATTGCAGCACTAGTCAATCTCCTGTCCCTCGTATCAACTTGGATTCCTACGTTTCGAAACCAACAAGGATGACGTACTATGCATTTTATCCTGCTTTTCTCTGAAGTATTAACTCGGTAACATAGACGCAAACAAGATCGCCTGTTTTGCGTTTATACCTCGTTCAGCACACAGTCTCGTTCCGAAAAACGTCACGCCAATACCGGTTCGCCCGCGGTTACTCACCATTACGTCCGCTCAGTTTGCTCTATTTTCTGCTCAACCTTCTAAAGATCTCTCCGCACCACATGACCCGTCCACAACCGCCATACACAATACCTTCCCCCCATCCCTCCCCCTCATCCCCGGACTTTACAGGACCCAAAAGCAAAAATCCAAACGAGTTCGTTCCACTGTCAACGCACTTGACCTCCGCAGAAAAAAAAAAAAAAAATAAAGGAACTAATAAAATCGCCGCAGCGGCGGCGAAATCTGCATTCAAATGGCGACACTTTTCCGAGTGCCGGCAGGAATTCGACAGTCGACCGCGCAATCCCTGGCTCTCGGCCTCGAGCCAGTATGGCCATCGAGCGAGTCAAACCGGCTGACCATCGCCGGTCTGCCCTCCCGTGCCGTTACCTTGATCCTTCCGACACCGACCGCGAAGAGATAGCCGCTCGCTGCGAGCGCCGCTGCCGACGCCAGGGACGAGACGAGCACGTCCGGGTCGGCCATCGATGCACTCGTCGGCGCAGGCGGACCAGCGCGACGCACAGTTCCGGTTTCGGTTCACGGGCCCAGGGTTGTCGCCACGCCTCGCTTATCTCGCTAAGCACGGTGATCCCAGTTTCTTCCCGAAGCACAGGTAACGCGGGTCTTTACACACCAGGCACATCTGGGAGATTGGTTGATCCCAAGTTTAAAATGAGAACTACAAATTCTTACTACTTTGAAACACAGTGGTAGATAGTTTTGACGCAGAGAAGGCAGTACCGGACGGCTACAGCTGATGACCGTAAAAAACAATGCCAACAGATGAGTGTTCAAAAATCACCACAACAAGTCGCACAAAGTAGACCACGAGAAAAAAACAATCGTTGCAGGTTTCTCTAGCTGAGGAAGTTAGTTGACCACTGTAGTTGCAAGCCGCAAAAGACGACCATAGAAGACTGCAGCGAACAGCAACAACAGTTCACCCCAACAGAAGACAGTAACGGGCAGCACTAGCGGACGGTAGCAGACGACAGTTGCAGACGACGACGGTAGCAGAGGACGGTAGCAGACGACGGTTGCAGACGACGGTATACCAGACGACGGTCGACGGTAGTAGTTGAACAGTACAAGAAAGTAGCTTCATGTAAACACGGTAAGAACACTGCTTCTAGGGGATCGACCGAACGAGCCAGGCTGTTAAACGGGGTCCAGGGTATGCTTCAAATCGTCTTCAGCGCCGAGTAAAACCCGCGATCACGGTCCGGGCGGTCGTAGAGGAGCGGACACCGGCGTCTCGAAGACCGGACACCCACAAACACGAAGGCACCCTCCACCCAAGTCGGCACAGTCCCCGTTCCGGCGGTGTCGTCCATCGGCGGGCGTGCATCTAGTCCAACCGAACACGGAACCGTCCACCACAGTCAAGTCGAGTCGCGTACACCGGAGCCGTTGTGCGACCGACGCGAGCTGGCTAACGAGGAAAGGCAAGGCGCCGATACTTCCTCCTTCGGAAAGAGAAACACAAGCCGCCGGGAACCGAAACAAGTCCCCCCAGGTAGGAGAGGCCCCCGTACACCTTAGGGGCGAGGGGAGAGCAGCGGAGAAGGAGGGATGCCTCGACCCGTTCAGCAGCAACCGTACGGGCCATTTGCGCGCTCCGACCGGCATTTTTTTGTTGGCTCCGTATTTATAGACGAACTGTTTATCTCGGCCGTTTCTTTTCGCCGCCTCCGGTACGCGTTTGTGCGTCCAATTGTCCGTGCGGCCTAAGACAAGGGCTTCCGCTCCATACCACCTAGAGGGCAAGGCCTACGGATGACGTCTTCGTTCGTGGCTCTCCGACAGACGCTGAAACCGTAGGCGGTGCTCTAAAAATCCCCTAAAAATGACTTTTTATTTTTATTTTTTTTTTTGGGGGGGGAGGGGGGGGGGCGCAGGCCTTGACTCTTAGGTTGTATTGCTCCGCTGCCTCTGTCCCCAATGACGAAAAGAAGGGTGGAAACGAAACTAGCGTGGCAGCGATTAGGGGGGCAAGGATGCGCGTCGACATCGACATCGGTCCCCTCTTTTTTTCCGTCTTTCCCGCCCAAAATGAAGCACCTAAAAGGAAACAGGCGTGGCGGCTAAGCCAACATCACCCGAAGGTCTCTGCCGGCCTCCTCCCTTTAACGTCATCATTAGATAAATGGATAGATAGATGAATGGGGCTGCAGCAATTCCCTTTGGAATAGAAAGAGAGGAAACTTGCGCCACCCGAATGGAGCGGAGATTCTGGCTGTAGGTGCAAAGCGGCTCCAGGAAATCAGGGGAAAAAAAAGAGACGTTTAAACGACGTATAAACACACACACACACACACAAAAGGAAGACACTGGAACACCTTGAGACTTGGCTTCGCGTGCCAACCAGTCGCGAATACCTATAGTGGTGATCCCACAGCTTTCAAAGAAAAGCAGAGATCCCGCCAACGACTAAACGGCCCCTGATACAGACCATCGCAGGCAGTGAAGGATAGGATTATGGAACGACATCATCGCTGGCTAGACTCCATCGCTCATTCATCTTCCTTTGCCTCGCCGTACAGTACTCCGCTCAGCTTTGCTCCAAACTCGAGAGAAAGCTGTGTACGTAAGTAGATGCTGGCCGTACCCGCCATCTGACTGTGAGCTGGGTAACAACAAGAGGATACTTCAGGAAAGCAGGAGCCTGTGTATGTATGCAGCGAAGCCCACGCGACGAGGGAGTTCAACCGGCAACTTAGGCTCGAGTTTGTCACACTGGCGCGCCACTGATAGATGCAAAGCTCGCTAAAGACAGCGCGCGTGGCATCTTCTGTGGGAACTGGCGTCCATAAGCAACCAAAGCATCGCAACGACGGCCTGTTCGGGTGCGAGAGGCTGAAGGAACCCAAAAGCCTCTTTGTTGAGGCCGTGTGGTTGCAGAGCTTTGTTGATTCTCGAGGGTGTCCTCCTCCTCTTGAGAGACTGATGAACGATGAAGGGATGCCGCGTGTTGTCAGGCGACTCAAGCAAATAACAATGTGTCCACAGAAAAAAAAAAAAAAAAAAAAGAAAAAAAAAATTAACAGCCTATATGCATCGAGAGCTCCTCAACTCGGACCCAGGAAGGTGTCAGAGTTAGAGCTGTCAATTAAACGGAGTTTGTCCGAGATAGAGACGAGTCCGCTTTGAACTCTTATCGAGCAGTCAAACGTTGAGTATTGTCGTAATATGTGGTGAGGAGCCCACTTGACCACATTGCACGTTTTCGTTTCCTGATGACAAGCCATCCGTGGATGCGACGAAAAGAATAAAGCAGACTCGAAATAACTACTGAGGGCCTTAATAAGTTGCAGGCTTCCGTACCCGACAACAACAACAAAAAAAGCAGAGAAGTGTGCTGCATGCACCGAGGTCCCTCCACCGGACTCGAAGACGACAGGCGCGAAGACGACAGGCGAAAGAAGTCTTCAGGCCAGGTCCGTAGAGCAGATGACCAACGCGACTGTAGCCGACTGTATTTGTTCTTGTTTACTTGACGCTCCTTCAAACAACTTCCGTCCTTCTCCGTCTGTTTTCCGACTCGCCCGGCTAAGCCCGCCAAAAGCTCCGCCCCCGCCCACTCCCAAGGCACACACACACAGCGCGGGACGCGGCTTCGGTACGGTAGCTCCAGCGAGCCGCATCGCGACGAGGAATTGCCGGCAACGCTTACCGAACACTCGCCCAGGAATTGCCGCCGAACAATAAAAATAAAAGCGCCAAAAAAAGAGGAATGAAAAATGGCGCGTACCTGGAGAAAAAGGGAGCCGCCGAAAGAAACACAAGGGGAGGGGGGACGGACACGCCCAGAAAACGGCACGCGGGTAGAGAGCCTAGATTTAAGAGAGGGAACAACTAAACCCCCCTGCACCAATCGGTCGCAAGTGCGCACGCGCTACGTTGTCGGACGGCGAGAACAAAAGCGGACGGGAAGGCGCAGACGCTTGCAAACGATCAACGACGCTTTCGTCACTTCCCCGCAGCTCGTATTGCAGAAAACGTGGCCCACAAACCACGTGACCCCGAGCCGAGCAGTTTGTCCTGTACCCTCTATCATACGGGCTCTCTGCACGCCGGTGGTTCCGGAATGCCGCTGAACCACTGCTGCTTCGGCGGCTGGGTGGGGGGAGGCCGCCAGAAGGGCCCCACGCGCCAGACGAGCCGCCACGCCGGTCATCCGGGACTGCGTGACGTCGGACGGACTGGCCACGCCCACACGCTCGTTCGGCCTTATACGGGACGCAACGGGGTGCCCTCGTGCACTTCGGCGGGTAGGAGGGCGGTTCCGAACGAGACGCGGAGATCGCTGCAATACACACTATAAGGAATTTTACA